TTTCAATTATATATTTTTTTTGTAGTTGTCAAATGCGTGAATCATTTTTTATTTAATCTCAAAATAACATTAAAATCTAAATAATAACAACTAATGGTGAAATGAAGAGTTATTAGATTGTAAGTTATTAATTTAATCATTATTACATTAATAGATTGTTTCTTAGATTATTTTTTTAATTTGATTTATATTTAGTTTTGGTATGAAACATATGAAACAATAAATTTAAAAAAAAAACTTAATCCAAGTCTTAAACTATATTTTTTTTATATATAGATAATTATATCAAAAACTGCATTCATAGTTCATGATAAAACTATATATACAGTTCAAATAAACAAAAAATGAAAAAAATTTTGCCCAAAATTTGTAAAAGGCCTAAACTAACAATATTACAAAGTATAACTACTTTTAATCAACAATATTGGTTGATTCCTTTTTTTCATAAGGATTTTTCATAGGAGAATATTACAATCTATATTGTAATTGTAAATACAATGACAATATATATATTGTATACATGAAGACAAAAAATGTTATATAACTTTTATTTTTATGTTATATTATACAAGACAATAATATTGTCATTGCATATTCCATGACAATAAAAAATGTATGACTTAATAATAAAAAAATACATTTCAAAAGAATAACATCTAGTCAAATTCTATATCTAAAATGTATAATTTTTTATTTGTATAATTTTATATATATATATATATATATATATATATATATATATATATATATATATATATATATATATATATATATATATATATATATATACATATATAGATGTAATTGCAAAAGAGATATAGAATTTTATACACAAATCTGATAAAGACTTTTCTTATTTATATTTTTTTCTTTTTGCACTTTGCAGAGACCATGCCCAAGTATTCCAAGAATGAACTAGAAAATTGCATTGGAGATATGCTGAAAAGATTGCCGGATAGAAAAGGCGTCGGTGACCGTGAAAAACTAAACAACGACAACAGTTTTTATGTTTTTTAGATTTGTAATTTGAAATATATTTTAACCTTGTGTATACTTTTAGTTTTAGTTTTTATTTGTTTTAATTAATAAGGCTCTAATAATATTTGTCTATTAATAAGACTGATTGCTTTTTTTGTAATGTTTTCTGAATGTTAAGATTTTGCTCCTAAAATTTAACAAATTCTGCGATTGCTAAAATACGCTCATTGCATAAGAAATGTCTTTTGAACGTTCAAAAGACGTTTAGAACTTCTTTTGAACGTTTAAAAGATGTATTTTCTAGACTAATTCTGTATAACTGCACTTAAACAGTCTTGCTTAAGTCTTCTTATGACGCCTTTAGAAGGTCCTGAAAAGACGTCTTTAAGCGTCTAATCTAGAATCAGTTTAAAACGCATCTAAGACATTGCATCTGAACATTTAGTGTACATTTTTTGTCCCCATGTTTGCTGAGTAATCTCTTTATAGTTTGATCTCTTTATAGCTTCATAGCTTACAATTCTTTGACAACTTGAACAGAAAATTGCTTCATAGATAGCTTGACAGTTTTTTTTTAGGTGTACTACTTTTACAGTAAGTGAAATTCTTATTGCTGATATGTAAAAATTAGATAAATCTGTTATTTCCTCAGTTTCCATTTTCATTTTGAGTATTCCTGCTGCAATCTGTTTAGTTTGGAAGCAACCAAGATCAAATATCTTACTTTTTTTTTGTGGTTGTGCTCCCAAAAGGTGCTTTCAGAAGCCCTTATGGTCTTATCACAGAAAACTGTGGAAGAGCATATAACCAGGAAATTCTTGCCTCCTTCCTTACCAATGTTGCTTATTGGGCTAGACCTGGTGTTGAACTTCTGACTTTTTTCTTCTGAGCTAGAGCACTAACCACTGCACCACAGCTATAGTTTCTTTTTGAGTTCAGCTGTCTTACCTTATGATCTTAATGTTGATGGTTATCTTCCTTTAATTTGTAAAGACTCGAATAGTCACATGCAGCAGTTTCAAGATTAAAAACAGCAGTTTCTTTCCCACAGCGGTACAACAACCCTGTTTCAATGCTAAAAAAAATACCTTGCACATAAATTCTATGTTTTGATCTAAATTTCTGAATCAAATCAATTTTGAATATTCACCTTGCTGATCTCCTTTGTCCAAACAATCTTAAAAACATGATTTATATAAATATTCAAACATATACTTAATTATCAATAAAACTAATTAGATGTATTATATTCTTTAAAAAGAATTATATACCAAATCAATGTGCATCTCATAAAAATCAAATTAGACCACAATTTGTTAAAAAAAAAATAACTCAGGTATCAAACATGCAATTCCTTCATTAACATTACTTAAAAAAATGAACTATTATTTTCACCAAAAATAACTTCTCTCATCATTATCTTCTCTACTTAAATCACCCTTGAATTTTTTTCAGTCTAAAGCATATGCAGATTTCTGCAACAAGCTAAAAAATCTTTTTTTGGCAAATCTTCTTTTTGTAGTTTATGAATAACTTTGAAACGCATACTTCATCAACTCATCCACTATTTAAATGATGTATAAACTATGTATTTATTCCAAATAGCTCCCAACAACTGATCATTTGACATTATTATAAAGATTTAAGCTAATTCTTAGTTTTATTTTAAGAATTTTTTTCCATCAAATTTTAGATCAAGTTAACGATACATAGATATATAAAAACTATAAAAATTTAAAAAAAAATTATAAAAAGACATAGAAAGGTGTTTAAAAATAAAGAATAAAGAAAACAAGAGAGAAAAAAAATAACCTTAGCTGCAGCGTAAGAAAGATCTTAGTTTTGGATTAAAAAAACGTAAAATATAAATACTTTTAAAAACAAAACCTTTGTTAAAATATTTTGTATTCAGTGGCACACACTATTATTTAAAAATAACATGAATAATAAACTTCAAAAATGGCAATAGATTGTTATTAAGTTAGGTTTTTATATAATATAGTAAAATTAAGTACTATATTTTTAATTTTTTATACTTTTTCTTTATTATGTATAATTCTTTAGATTAAATTATGTATCTTTAAATTAGACTTTGTATATTTAGATTCTTACCTAACTGCCGACCTAGAAGTGTTTGAGGTTGACAAAAAATTGCCGACCTTGTTTCTATGTTTAATAGTTAAATAGTTATTCATCATTATCAGTCAGGTCAGGTTTATCCTGCTTCTGGTAACATGTAACCCAGTACAATCTGCTTCATGTCCTGCTGCCTTGTAGGATATGCCTTTTTAGGCAAAGGCTAGGAGATGCAAACTCCGACATAAAACACCCCCTGCCTTGGGGCTCTTGGTTGAGTAAAGGCTAGAGATGGTGTCTCGATAAAACTCATCTTGGGCAGATGTTACATGCATCCGGCTGCTGTCTTGTAGAAGGCCTCCAAAGCAAAGACTTAAGGGGTAAACAGATTCTATCTGTTGACCAGCCTCGCACCCCTTCGTCATCTATTAGGCTGGCGCAGATGTATTTTTAATACATTGTTTCCAGTTTAGGATGTTGAACACTGGATCTTCTTGACTCGATTCATGGGTTTTGCTTGTGTCTCTGTTTTTATGACTAGGCAACTCATTCTATTATCTCCAAATGAGGGTACAGCTTTAAAACTCAGTTTTATGGTTCTGAGGCCGGCTAGTAGTCAGGTTTCCCGAACTCTGTAGTAGCTCTCAGAGAGGCTGATTCCATCAACAGCTAAAAAATATCAGAGTACTAACAGTGCCATGTTGCGCATGGATGGTGTCCCTGTTTGTACTTTTGGTGTGCATTGCCAAGGCCACATTGGAGCCCTTTGTTACGGCTTAGGGTTTATTAGTGGAAATGAGGCAATTGCTTGAGCTATAGAACAGTGTACTGAGTACTATCAATGTTACGAGTCAAGTTCTTTTACAAATTTAAAAATGAATAAAGTAACAAAAACTATAAAACACAAAAAACCACAGTCATCACCAAGTTCGCTAAACCTATCATTCACCAATATTCGTGGTCTTCGAAGTAATTTTTTTTCTGTTGAGTCTTATCTCTTGCAAAGTTCACCAGACCTACTTGTTCTTTGTGAGACTAATTTGAGTACACCTGTCTCATCTTGTGATCTTAGTGTTGATGGTTATCTTCCTTTAATTCGTAAAGACTCCAATAGTCACATGCTTGCCCTGGGCATTTACATTGGTAAGAATTCACCCATTTGTTGGGAAACTAGGTTTGAATCCACATACTACTCTTTTATGTGCTTTCGTTTAGCACCACTTCACTCTATCACCTTTCTCTTTGTTCTATATTGCTCTCCCTCATCCCAAGACTGCTAAAACTATTATCTCATCCCAAGACTCTCTAAAACTATTATCTCATTCTTCTTTACCATTAGAATCCCCCTATCATCGTACATCTTACAACTACCTTAAAGCTGACTGGGACTCTTTTCGTGACTTTCTTCGTGATGGCCCCTGGGTAGAAATCTTTCGTCTCCCTGTTGACAAATGTGCTTCTTATATAACTTTGTGGATTCAGGCTGGCATGGAATCCTTTATTCCCTCTCGACGATTCCAGGTCAAGCCTCACTCTTCTCCATGGTTTTCCTCACATTGTGCTGCTGCAATTGCCAATCAAAACCATTACTTCCATATCTATCAGCAAAACAATTCTCCAGAAAACAGACGTCTCTTTATTACTGCTAGGAACCATTGTAAAAAGGTTTTGTCTAACGCCAAAACCTGCTATTCTCAGATCATGAAATCTCGTGTTTTATCACAAAAATTAGGCTCTCGTGACTTCTGGAGAATCTTCAATAGTATCAATAATAAGGGCAAGTCTGTAATTCCACCTCTTTTGTACGGTTCAGACTTTGTCGCCTCACCTAAAGACAAAGCTGAATTGTTTGCCAAGAACTTTTTATCAATATCATCTCTTGATGCCACTAGTTGCGTTTTACCTGATATGCCCGTCAAACAGGTTGATCCATTGCTCGACATTCATATCACTCCAGCTTCTATATCTAAAGTGATTTCCCACTTAGACTCTTCTACAGCTTGCGGCCCGGACAACAAACCTGTTATAGTCTTGCAGAAGTATTCTCCTGAGCTGTCGTCTATCTTTTCAAAACTATTCAACAAGTGCTTATCAGAGTCTTGTTTTCCAGCCTGCTGGAAAGCAGCATCTGTTATCCCTATTTTTAAAAATTATGGAGAGCGATCTGACTCATCTAACTACCGTCCCATTAGTCTTCTTCCTAACATAAGCAAGGTTTTTGAATCTTTAATTAAAAAACACTTAATCTCTCATCTTGAATCTCATAACCTACTTTCTGATCATCAGTATGAATTTCGATCTTCTCGTTCTACGGCTGATTTTCTATCAGTAATAACCAATAGGTTTTATCGCGCATTAGATAAAGGTGGAGAGGTTAAGGCCATTGCTCTTGACATTTCTAAAGCGTTTGATAAAGTTTGGCATGCTGGTCTCCTCCATAAGTCTTCTTCTTACAGTGTATCTGGAAACATCTTTAAGATTATTGAATCCTTCCTTTCCAATCGTAGCATAAAAGTTGTCCTTGATGGACAGCACTCTTCTTCTTATTCTGTAACCTCAGGGGTTCCCCAAGGTTCAATCCTTGGCCCTATACTCTTTTTAATTTACATTAACGATCTTCCAGATATTCTCACATCTAAGGTGGCATTGTTTGCTGATGATACTACCATTTATTCTTGTCACGATAAGAAGCCAACTCCCTCTGATTGCTTGCAGGGGCATCTGAGCTCAAAAAGAATCTCACTTCTGCTACAGCATTGGGCTTGCAGTGGCTGGTGAACTTTAATTCAGATAAAACTAAATTTTTTTCGGCCAATCGTTATTGCAATAATTTAGACCTTCCTATATTTATGAACGGTAATGTACTCGATGAATCTCCTACCCTTCATCTTCTAGGATTAACTCTTACTTCTGATCTTTCTTGGAAACCTTATATCAAATCCGTTGCAAAATTAGCATCTGCTAAAGTTGCTTCTCTTTATCAAGCTCGTCACTTTCTTACTCTGGATTCTATTCTCTATCTCTATAAATCTCAAATTTGGCTTTGTATGGAATACTATTGCCATATCTGGGGCGGATCTTCTAATGATGTCCTTTCTCTTTTAGACAAGGTGCAAAAATGCATTGTAAACATAGTTAGACCTGCTCTTGCAGCCAACCTTCAACCTCTGTCACATTGTCGTAATGTTGCTTCTCTTCCTCTTTTCTAAAAATACTATAATAGACACTGCTCTAAAGAGCTAGCATCTCTTGTGCCATATACTAAAATTCATTCTCGTGTTACTCGTCATTTAATTAAGTCTCGTCCTTTTTCTGTTACTGTTCCTAAGTGCTCCAAAAACTCTTATTTGTTTAGTTTTTTTCCTCGAACATCAGTTCTTTTGAATTTGCTTCCTTCATCTTGCTTTCTTGATTCATATAATTTGCAATATTTTAAGTCGTCTGTCAATCGTTATCTTGCTCTACAATCTTCATCTTTTCTTTTCCAGTAACTTCCAACACCTATTAGTGGTTGTTTGCAGCCTTGTTGGAAGATAATTAAAGCGAAGATAATTAAAAAAAAAAAAAAAAAAAAAAATTTAGATTTAAATAATTATCTTTTACATTCAGCAAAAAATGTTTATTAAGATTTGTTTTGACATTTTCATTTAAAAACAAAAATTGGAAATAACTTTTATGGAAAAAGAGTTAACTATGCCATTATGTAATTGAGTAATACAACATTTCAGAAATTTAAATGGGGAACAGTTCCATTGAAACTGAACAGAATTAAATTGAATGATACTTTTATATATCTTACTATTTTAACTGTAACAAGTTTTTTCAGAATTCTTTTCAAAACCAACCAATTTTGAGTTATATATTTGAATATTTTTTTTTAAATATAGATTGAATTACCTACATAGATATTGGAAGAAACATAACTCATATATAAAAAAAAACTTACATCTAAGGGTCTAATACTTTTTTTTTTTGTCTTCTCATTCTTTAATTTTTGCTTATTTATGTCTATAGAAAAATAAAAATACTGAGTGAAAGAAACAGATAAAGAAACTAACCAATAAAAGTAAATTATATAAAAAATTTTTTACTAAAAAAGAAATACACCATGTCAAAATAATTCAATTATTTCTTTAAAAAAAATCAAATAATAACCAGTTTTATTTTAAAACCTCATTAATCGTTTACCAACATTTTTTTTACATGTTGTAGAGACAAGGTCGCCTAACAAATCAAGCTTTTAAACTGTAATATCAAATATCTAATAACATTATTCTTTAATTTTCTACTTCATTCTAATTCCAATGTGTGTGTGATTTTAATTCAAACTTTATGCCCACTCCATTTAATTACAAATGTGTACGTGATTTACAAACGTTTTTTTAACATAGATTCAATTAATAAAGTTATCAAATTTTATAAGGTTTTATCAAACTAGAAAAGTTT